TGCATCTCAGTTTGGTAATTATAATACGGAAATCTTAACCAGAGTTTTATATTTCTAGTGCAATACATTCTTTCATACTGCACCATGTCTACTACACCATATAAATAAGTGATTGATTACAATATTTATATTCACTTTTTCAAAAAATTTATAATTTTTTTTAGCTTTCTGAGTTTTTTATGTAAGTTATCCTGTGATATATTCTGAAATTATAGTTTTAATTGTAATTTTTTCTTGTAAAGAATAGAAAACTATTCTGTAATAATATCATAAAATATACTTCTTGTCTTCTTTTTATTAATTTTATCATTATCACTTTTGATAATCTCATCAAGCTGATTTTTGAAATTCTTCTAATAGAGATATCAATATAGAATTTCTTTTTGATTAATTCAATTTGCTTTATCTTTAGCATTAATAGCTTTATCACATAATTAAGCTAAATATTGTAAAGCTTTATTAATATTATCATAAGTAACTTTTCTAAGATGATCCATTCCAAAAATTTCAGTTACATTATTATGATTTATAAAGGATGGACTATCTGATTCTAAAGAGAGATTGAATAATTCATGCTTGAATTTATCCATTTCTTTTTTTTTATGTGATCTATTACTTGTTAACTCTCTTTTGATTATAGATCACTATATCAGAAATAGGATACTTGAACGAATCTAGATTGATATTTTCATCAACTTTAGATGTTAAATTATTATATAGTTGAATAACCAAGTTGAGCTCTTGAAATATTTTCTTTTCGGGATGAAATTCTTGGACTTGAAGTTTCTTTTTTCAATTTCTTTGCTTAATTACATTGTTAATCTTTTTCTTATGCACCTCATTCAAGAAAGCATCCATTTTCTTATCTTCTGATAACTTGTTGTTGGTATTATCACTAGGTGTGTTATCACAGATAACTGTTCTTCCAACTTTATTATTGAAATTCTCTACTATGGAATTAGATACATCAACAACTGATATCGTTATCTCTGAAATATCATTATTCTATGGCTGTCCAGTTATCTCAGTAACGTCCTGTTCTAATATCACGAGTCTGGCCTCAAGTTCTGTATTCTTTTGCTCTAGTTCCTCAACTCTAATGTCGCGCTTTGTATTCTCCTCAATAATTTGCTTCAACTTTATATTTTCCTTTCTAAGCTCAGCAATCTCGGCTACAAGCTTGGAATTCAATTCCTTCAATGAATCGATTTTAGATTGAGTGTTCGACATTACTTTCTATAAAAAGCGCATTCATTCAAATTGTGTAAGGTACAAACCAGAAAAACCGTTCCCTCGGGGAACGATCGGAAAATCACGTGATTAAATTTTGCGGGACATAATGTCTCGAAAAAATGCCAAGAAAAAAATAAACACGATTGATATATTTACAGTATATGCAAAAATCTTTATTTAACCCGTGATGCATTAAAGGCCATGAATGGACTGCTCGATTTAATAATATAAAAATAGTTTTACATGGTGTCCATATTGCTCAAAATACAAACGTGAAGAATTATGCCGTGAAAGTCTATCTGGTCCATCATCAGAGAATCGCTGGCCTAATTTCTTAAAAACACCAGAGCATAAATTGGGATTGCAACTTGATATTCCTTATTATGATTACGGTTTTGCTATAGAAGTACAGGGACAACAGCATGAAAATATCACGAATTCTTTCATAGAGGAGATCCCAATAATTTTATCAAACAGCAAGCACTGGATCAACTCAAGAAAGAATTGTGCGAAGAAAACTGGATTTTTTTAAGTATGTCTGGTATTACGAAGACCCATATATAGTTATTCTAGAGCATCTTCGAGAATTGGGTCTTATTGAGTAAACTTAAAATTTCAAATGCTTTTGCAATCCATTTATTTTATTCAAAATCTTTACATCAAATCACAATTGGGTAACCATATTTTATTTAATAAAAATTCAAAGCCAGATGTGACAGATCTTTTATTAATTTTTTTATTGTTGCAGAATTACATGAGTCTAAAGCTATTATGTTATTTTCAGATTTTTAGTTTGAACCGTTATTATCTTTCCTCTTTTTTTCAGGAGTTGATATGCAAATAGTTAACTGATGCTGATCATGATTATATTTTCGTTTTTTTAATCCTGCATCAATGAAAGATCTCTTGTCTTGATTTTCTTTCGAGTTTATTACAGCTTTGAAGGATTCTTGAATTCGACTCTAAATTTATAAACAAACAAACACTAAATGAAAAATATATAATATGATCGACAAATGGCATGAGTCTAACCTTCAAATTGAGAACCGATGCTAATATGGTTAGAATAGATGAAAATTTTTCCGGTGTATCCGGTACCTCCATTAATTCACTGCGACGAATCCTACAAATATATCCCTTGGGGTTGTCGAGATAAAGCATTACCATAAGTAGCCCTAATATTAAGATATTATTTAATGATAAAAGATAGATTTTTTGCAAAATTAATTAGATACATGAATGAAAAACATACCGGCATGGATAATTCCAACCGTTTGAATTTTGTCATATTTTGCTGGGTTCCATTTAACCTTTTCCATCAACTTCATCATCATATCTTTTAAATTCTTCGGAAGTTTTAAACCAGCTTCCTTTAAAAACTTAGTACCATATTTATCTTTCCAGTTTTTTCCCGCTTCGCCAGCCCCAAATTCATCATTGTCACCTTTACCGGTTGATCTTAAAATCCAATCTCCTCTATGACCCATTCTACGATATGTACCTAATTTCCTATTTTTATTTTTTCGAATTGAACTGGCAATTCCCGAACTTTCCCCTCTTGGTTTGTAAATAAAATTGCCAGTTCCGCCAAAACAAGCTATTCAACAAACAAATAAGATTAAAATCAACTTTACCTGACAACTGAAATAATCTTCACGTTTCCAAATGCTTGATCAAATATAAAATTCCAAATGTGAACATTAAACCACGCTTCGAGGTTGTCGTTATATAATTTCCCACTCTCTATTTCTCGTACCCTGTAAAATAATTTTTATGTCAGTATCAATTCAGAAATCACAAGAAAAATTATCAGAGTCGCAAGGATTACTTACAAAGCATGTATAGCGAATATGATATAATCAACATCGTGATCTTTTTCAAAATTATATTTATCATCAAAGCTAATTTCTCTGATGATTTTTCTGATTTCATTTAAATTGGTCTACCAGAGAAAAAGTTTATAAATTATTGAAATACAAGTACATCTGACAATGAGCAAATAAATAAGATATATAAGATATTATTTACCTTGTCAACAAATTTACATAAACAATCTGTCACATTTTCAGCCAATTCAGGAATGACGGGACCCGGTGTCTGATCTATTTCCTCCATTTCTTCTTTGCTAAAATGATTCATCACAACTTCATCATCAATGTCCAATATGAAAGAATGTATTGCACTAGAAATATAAAACTCTGGTTAAGATTTCCGTATTATAATTACCAAACTGAGATGCA